CATGGACGCATCCGATGTCAGGTACCCTGCATGGGTACTGCAGCGCTGGATGCACTGTGCACCTCTACTTGTATTCCTCTTCTCTGACACTCTGTCAGGGCATACACCCTGACCTAGCCCACACCTGCACTTGCACCCGCATCCACATGCACACCTGGCTGTTGCACCCCCTGTGCATGCCCTGTGCCAGACGCTCCATGCGGCCAGGTGCCCCAGGCCCCGGGTCTTGGGCCTCATGTGACTTCCAGATATCTCTGGAGGTTTTCGATTATATTGGGCCACTGTGGGAAGGTGAGAAGTTAGCTTCCTTCTCACCTTCTTACCCACAGCAGTGTGCCCTGGACAGGGCTGTGTCCCTTTAGGTTGTGGGCCATGGGGGGGTCATGGGGACCCATGAGATGTCCCCTGACACACTCAGGACCACCTGTGGAACCACCCACGATAGCCTGGCTCCACCCAGGGGTGACATGGCATCCTCACATGACTGATTCCCACTTGTATATAAACCAAGCCGAAGCAGAACTGAAGAAGTAACCTTCTTCTCATTTTCTGCTTCAGGCAAGTACCCTAACTTAGTGTAGCCCTTCATTTCAATAACAATACATTTTCTGCTTCAGCCTAAGAAGCCACAGAGGGATGCAAGCCCAAGAGAGGGTTGCCTGCTATACCACTCTGCTATTCCATTGCCGCCTGAGCTGCCAGCGCCAGGCACTACGCCGCTGCCCCTGCGCCGTCCCTGACACAACCAAGGCTGCCCATTCGAGTGGTTCATTGTTGTCCACCCACCAGCCAGATGGCTTGCTAGACAGCTGGATGGCCTTTTCTCTTTTGTTCGCTTGTGGACTATTGTTCCTCCTTTGCCACTCGTTGTTCTTGCTTACCTTTTGTTGACCAAGTTTTGCGATATTAACTATTTGTCTCTTTCTTCATTCATTAATATTGTGCTTGATCCGCCACTCCTTCCAGGCTGGTCCTATTTAGTTACTTGTGTTTATAACATGTGTAGGTTACACTGGATGTACCTCAGATCGTATATTGACTTGGATTTCCCCCCTAGTCTCTTCTCTACATCATAAGGCTTCTGTCTGAAATTGGGACACCAATGTAAGAATGAAGCGCAGTGCTCCACCTGAGTCGCTGAAGCTGAAGTCCTGCCCCTCCAACCTTACAAGCCCAGATGACTTTGCAAGCGCTTGCAGATCATCCAGATATGCATCCAACACATTCCTGACAGATAAACCAATTTATTAGGCACTGTGGGAATGAGTGGGGCTGGAATTCTGGGTTGCTGCTTGAGATTCCCATGCCTGCACATGCTTGTGACCTGCCTGTCCAATGCAGAACTCCATCAATTCTCCACTGTTTGGGACATTCTTGATATTGATGGGATTGTAGGAATTAGCCCTATTTTTAGGTACCAAATTCATATCGAGTTGTCACATGAATGAAAGGGGTTTTCTAAATGGTGGAAGCAGGTATCTGAGCTGGCTCTGCACATGGGTGATTATCCCGCTGAAGGAGAGAATGAAGAAAGATCAGTTGGGAGGTTCTAATGAGACCACCACCAAGCTGTTCCCTGGTTCTTTAGTTAGGATGGGGAAGTGTACTAGTAACCTTGTTGTAATTATAGTACCAATCTGAGTGTTTTGGCTAATTCTATTTCATGGGTTAGTCTAAAAATCTCTGAGAAATGACTTACAGATAAACAAAGCCCCCATCAGGCTTTCGTGAAAAGTTCATCACCCTGAATCCTTCTACCTCATAAAATATATGTTCGAGGGTTTCATCTCAAGCAGGCCAATAATTGCTGAGACGACAAGAGGCGAGGTTGAATGTACTTATAACTCGTCCAGATGAGCAAAGCTGCAGCAGAGAGAATGAAGGGGCTGAAGAGTCATAAGCCCCATAGAATTGAAATCCTCTTTGAGAAAGCTCAGTCTGAACAAGTGGTAGCAGGTTGTGAACAAGCATGTTGAGGTGCAAGTTGGAGAAATGGACAATGCGACTAAAATTTCCAAGTCATTCACGAAGATTCGGGGCAAGAGCATCCTGCCAGATTCGCATTTGTGTGTATTCTCGTCGAGCTGGACTACCCCCTATGTGGAATTGGCTGGCCTCGACCATACTCATTCGAACCTCAGCCTGTATTGATTACATAATCAAGTGAACCATTACGAATGAAGCAAGCACATATATTGCTCGGGAGAAGCTGAACCTCTAGGGAATTGATACAATCCCCAGAAATACCCAGACGAGTGACTGAGGGTGATACATTCAGAGCTTCATATGGTTGAGTACGAGGTCATCATGAGTTTGGTGCATTTTGTACAACCCCACTGGAACTTGTCCGACAAGCATTTACAGAGGTGGTGGGAAATCCTCCTGGGGGAATCCCTCGAAATGCGACAGGAACAGGTGCAGTAGAAGGGACTGATGAACCAGGTGAGACAGATGTAGTTCCACTAAGGTTGATGGTTGATTGAGCATGAGTAATTGGCCCTGAAAAAAGAGGCAGAGGAGGGGGGGCAGCAATTGATGGAAAATTTGATGCAAATGAAGGTGGAGACTGAATTGATGGCACTTGCGACATAGTTCGTTGATGATGCTGTATTGTCGGTACTTGCACAGACATGCTTGCTGGCGAAATAGCTGAGGCCGAGGATAAATTTTGTGCCCTTGAGGGTTCCTGGGACCTGAAGTTCGGGGCTGAGATAGGTGGAAGCTCAATACCCAAGTGACGAATTCGCTCGGCACTGTGATTGAACTCCTCCAAAATCCCCCTCACTGTATTGGGAGATAAATTATTATTGGTATTGGACATTGAATCAAGCAAAGCGAAGGCAAATTGTTTGTATAGTGGAGGTTGGGTGAGAACTGGTTGCTACAAGCAGAAGGCAACCTTCAACAATTATTCAAAGGCGAAGAAAAAAAAAAGGTTTTGGTGTTTGCTGAAGGGGCCACAGACCAACAGTTCGCCAGCTCACATTGAAGGATCAAGCCCAAGGTTGAGATAGAATTATATTTAATTGTTATTATTTTACAAGGCAGAGATGTTGCTGATGCAGCCTGTGAAATATGTCTAGTATGCAAAGTATGTGAAGTATGTGAACTGTGGGAACTAGGGAAATTCCTGACAACAAAAATATAGAACACATGACCTTGAATGTAATACAAAATATGCAGCATGTGTGAAGTATGCAAAGTATGCAAAATATGCAAAGTGTGCAAAATTGCCGATGACAAAACATGCAACACATCACCTTGCAGTTGCAGGGATTTCTATGAAATGAGTTACCGAAAAGAATTTCTGCATTTGCATGCTGTCCTTTGCTTGTTGCATACTTTGCAGACATTACATACTTTGCACGCTTCACACACTGTGGCAACTTCCCATAGTTCCCACACTTTCCATTTTCAATAACAAACAAATTGCTTCCGATACAATGGATGGATGGATGGATGGATTCATTTTAGAGTACATAACCGTGCCTATCGGCATATGCCGTACTATAGTGACTCGGGTGAAAAAAGTGTGGAGAACATAAGGATGTGAAGAAGGAATTTGTTTGACCTAGGAAGTATGAGACATCAAGTAATCAATGGTGTGAAGGAGAATAAAGTGAGATGAAGCAATAACACATAAAGGAGCATGCGACCCCTGCACTGAGATTGAACAACAGGTGAGGGAGAATGAAGGTGGAAAGAGATTGGATAGAGAAAAGGACACGCGACCCCCAGTGTTGGGGTCGCATGTTTTGCTGCTGTGTGCCTATGGTTGAGTCATTGGTTGAGTGCGCGGTTCTTGCGGGTGGGTGAGTTGGAGGGTGCTTTCACGGGTTTATGTCACGGTAGGCTGGTGAATATTCCAGTGGCAGCAAAAAGCGATAGGTATTGGTGGCATCTTGCTCATGCTTGTTGAATAAAGGCATGTGGCAGATAGGCCTTCGGTAGAAGGGGTAGTGGAGAGAAATGAAAGTGTTGGGGTGACAGCAGGACTTGAACCTGCATTCCTTGCAGTCAACTTTTTGTCGGCATATGGGGCTATCGTTGGCGCTACCACTATCGCGCCTCGTCACGAAGAGGTAGTGGAGAGAAAGATGAATCGGAAGGGTGTTGGGGTGATGGCAGGACTTGAACCTGCACTCCTCCGGCCTGCCCATGGACTTATGGAGGCTACCATTGGCGCTACCACGATTGCACCTCACCATCCCAAAAGGTAGTGGAGAAGAGAAAAAGAAGGAAGGGTTGGGGTGACAGTGGGACTTGAACCCACAGTCCTCTGGCCAGTCCCATCTGGGCTTACGGAGGTCACCATTGGCGTTGCCACTATCGCGCTCGTCATCCCAAAAAGGTAGTGGTGAGAAGAAAAAGGAAGGGTTGGCTTGACGGCGGGACATGCACCTGCGCTCTTGCATCTCTCCAGCCAGTGTGGCTCTGGGCTTATGGGGTTGCGGTTGATTGGCATTACCACGGTGGCCATGTCATCCTCCCTTCAGATGTTAGAGGCCTAATTAGTTTTAAACAGGGGCACCGCGTGAAGGTTTAGGCCCGTGCCGGGTGTTCGCTGTGGTAGCAGAACTCCCCCTCGACTGACATCCATTGTTGAGGCCCTGCTTCCGATACAAGTCACATTGTGGGTTTAATACAGAAAGTCACATGCTACAGAGTGTGGCTATTCCGCGAAATGAGATGAGTGACCCTCGGATTTCGGACAATGTGACCTGTGTTCAACAAGTCCAACCACCTTTTCCGGAATTTTGTAAAATGTAGTATGGCTGTGCTTCATCACTATCCAGCCATTAAAGCTCTGATCTCCCCAACCCAGAAAAAAATTAGTTAACATTAACCTGGCCCAATCAGACTTGTGTTTGACCCTGCGGAAATAGCCACACTCTGTAGCATGTGACTTTTGTATTGAACCCACAGCGTGACTTGTATCGGAAGCAATTTGTTTGTTATTGAGTGTGGGAACTATGGGAAGTTGCCACAGTGTGTGAAGCGTGCAAAGTATGTAATGTCTGCAAAGTATGCAACAAGCAAAGGACAGCATGCAAATGCAGAAATTCTTTTCGGTAACTCATTTCATAATGAAGTCATCGTCATCTACCCAGGTCACAACTGGAGACAATGACTCTCGCTTATGCGGGACTTAGCATCCTTGACTATGCTTTGTGGTGGCATAAACCGCTGGATGTTCATTTCCCAATTCCTGTGACGGAAGAAATTCACCCCAATCCCCCAAATTCCGATGCCATCACTGATCAGGGACTGCCGAAAACGGAGACCGCGTCAAATCCGACTTCCAATCCAGCGAAGAGCATGAATATGCAACTCTTATGGGTGTTTGGAGTGATTGGCATCATTTTTGGTGGGGTTCATTGCCTCGCGTGGTCATTTCCATTTCCGACGCGTGCGGAGAAACTTTTGTGGCGCATTTCTGCGATAATTATTACCGTGACCCCTGGCCCCTATGTATTGGGCTGGGCAAGATGGAAAAGGGGGGATGTGATAAGCATGCTCTTTGGAGCTCTCCCCGTACAATTCTATCCTTTTGCTCGGATTATCTTGTTCACTCTCACATTTACATCCTTACGGTCTCCACCCCCCGATCTTTACCGAACTACATCCTGGACATCTTTCATCCCCCACCTAGGATAACGCAATCGTAGACACATAGTATCGTTGCTCTCCATAACAAGAACAGTCTAGTGGTATTCGGACACAAATACACCAGATGCGTCCATCACAACTATCCTGCACCATCACCACAAACGCACGGATCGAATGAGGTTCCTCTACAAGACTTCTCGCCATACTATCCCCCTTTGTCCTTGCCTTCCCCCTTTTTACCTAGCTACTAGTTGCCTATCAACTCCCTACATCCTTCACCGTCGCATTGTGACACCCATCGGCATGGAAGGCCATTCCTTCTCAGGTCAACCCAGATAGTCTAGAGGCAATAAAACTGCATGAATCGCCGGATCTATGTGCAACGGCTGAGTGAATATTGGTTGGCTGCTCAGTAGTGCGAGCTCATCATCGTGATTATCTAGCAGCTCAAAATTTGGATGATAGATTGTGAGGCTGAGTCGAAGAGGGGTATACCATTCAAAGCCTCAATGAAGGCGGTGTGGAAGTGGACTTGTAGAAATGGAAAGGGATTCATAGTTTGAGATGGAGCCAGGATCAGAAACGCTGAACGTCGTAACACGCCACCATCCCTTTGCAAAGACTCGAGGCGAGAGAGAGCCAACGCCACGTCGTCGCAAGGCCCTCATTCCATGTTCGGTGCACCAAGTCCGAAACCCGGAATATGGACACAGCAGCGTGCGCGATGTGAATCGGTGGGGAATATTGCTAGCCTGTCGAAATTTGTGCATGTGCCATGAGCTTCGGTGAATCTTTGGTTACACTGGAATCAGCTTCGATATTGTGCAATGCTACTTACCATATGCTGACGAAAAGCAACAACATCCAACTTCTCCACGCTACTGCTCAGCTTAGTGAATGAATGAACTAGTCTTGGGCCTTGTGCCTTGTGCGTCACAAGGTCCATCTCGGTAGTTTTGTCCACCCTATATGGATGGGACGACACGAGAATGGGATTTGTCCACTGAATGCCGAGTAGGAATTGGGGGACTACCCCCCTGTAACGCTCGTGTTGAAGAATGCCGACAGTGTGCGTTGGAGAAATGATGTCGGTCTAATGGACGTGCAAGTAGCAGGACGATGATTATAGATTGGATGGAGTGCTGTGAAAAGAAGTAGAGGATGGCGGGAACACGACATGAAGTGTGGCATCCTCTGTGTACTAGGTATGGTGGAGCAAGCAATGGGATGAATTTTGGTGTACATATGCGGCGACTTCCGCTCTGACAACGTTTACCTTGAAAAAATAGATCATGAGATTCTCGATATCACACCAACAACGCGTATGCAGCCATCTATTGGAGCAGATAGAGTGGTTTGAAGTTGAAAATCTGAGTCGAACAAAGTAACATTTGTTGAAGTGACTCACCGGCCCGCTCAAAGAACCTGCCACCAAAGGGCCGCCACTGGCGCTTGGCGCTTTGCTGTCGCCCCTCCACTGGCCAACGTCGTTCCTTAGTTACTCCCTTCTCAGGCTGCTTGTTGGTTAGTGCCTTCGAAGCGTTGTGTTTTCTTCCCAATAGATAATGGACGTTGGGTCCTGATGACTAGAGCATGTACTACAGTTCTAATAACATTTCCCCATCGCTGCGGGAAAGAAAGATGACGGGCCCGAGGAGAAGAACGCTGGAGCCACTGAATTGAACCTTCTCCACACTGAACAGCCACGAGCGGGTGTTGCCTTTCTCCGACATCGGCATTTGCACAGTGGAGGCGACAGGATCCTCTACTTATCGTGCAAGTCTTCGGAGTTGATATCCTTCATTTGAACGAAGCGGCCCCACAAATAAAGTACTCTCTCACATGCTGAAGCCGCTAATTGGCATTCTCATGCACTAAAGGCAACTCGCTCCATCCCTGGGCTGTCGCTGCAACGAGCATGCAACCCTTCCAGATGTTTGGATTGTGGGCCTTTAGTTACATTTTCTCGATGGACCTTAACATGTCTGTCGGTGAGCAATCACTGCCTGAAGCTACTGTATCGTCACTGGGGGGATTCGTTCCCTTTTTTCTGACTCGCTTCGAATTCCACCGCGTATTCCCCCAGGTGTTTCTCCCACCATTGCATGCGTTGGTGCTCGTGGAAGCGGGCCGCATAAGCAATTGCCATTTTGTCTCTGACCCCCGGAACCCACTCATCCCCTTGGGTCACGCGGTTCTTTGGGCTGTCCTCGTCCGTGCATTCACCTATTTAGGATTGACATTGGCAGTGTTACGTGTTGGCCATGGCTTTGGCTGGCACCCAGTAGTTTGAGCGCCCCTTTCCCAGTGGCTGCCTAAGGTCTTCTGTCATGTTCGACTCTCGATCTGCTTGTGGAATGCGCTTTGCGAATCCAAACATTTGGCATTGTCCACTCATACTTCCTCACAGCTGATGGAAATTTTTTGCCCTGACTGGAACCAACGCTCGGCTCTGTTGCATTTATGAACGAAGGCCCTGAACTTGCACGACCAGGACAAGATGAATAACGCGCTGGGAACGATTGACGGCTTGACTAGCATGAAATCTTGTGGTACGCTGACGGAACAAGAGATGCATTACGAAGCTTGACGGGTACTAGTAAGTGATGTGTTATTCCGGAGGGATAATCAATCCCAATAACACCCCCCCTGCGTAGCACACTGTGTGCGGGACAGTCTGGAATCCAGTCGATACGCCGAAGGAAATGTAACGGAACCTGCATTGAGATCCAGGTGTCTTGTGTGAGGTATCCGGGTGAGTGGCAGGCCTGGATGTTTTCTCCGCTGTTAACTCAGTCCGACTGGCACCTACTGGCACACGAGTGTATTCATTAGCGCGAAACTGATAGGTGCGCGAGTAATCACAGATCCCATCATGAGTCCCATAACACAATTTTCAAGGGAAGAAAGTGAGGTGGGGAACATTGCTGGCTTCTGATGTACGTCAAGTGCGTGGCGTGTGCTCGACAAGGTGTGCAGCCCCTGTTAATTTTCCATTTCCTGGAAAACAATCAGAACCGGGTCGGACCATTGCTGCACGCCGGATTATTTGGCCATGCATTCACCTTGTCCAATCGATCATCAGATGTCCAAAGTCCACTCGCTAACAATCGTCGACTCTCGGTGGCCCCGGTCTCTCGCCATTTGTGGAGTACACACATGCATTCCGGCGTGCTCCTAAGACGGGGGACCAGAATCGCACACATGGATCCCCTGCAGTGGAGTTCTTCGAACCCCTCTGGCACCAATTTATGATTCTTTTTTCCACTCAGATGCCATAGGTATGTGTGACCGAATTTTTCGCTTAGCTCCCATGCAGTATTAGGCGCGGTCCACCAGATACGTCTGCGTCCACCACCTCTATACCATACGCTGGGTGGGACACCAATGAGTCGGACCCACCGGCAGTCTTGGCATCTGGGGTGTTCTCATTTAGGTTTCTATCGCTCAGTCGTTCAGGGTGGTGGACTGGTCCTCACGGTACTCAGACGATCTCTGGGCAATAGCCTGTGATCGTTCTTGTTCTTGTTCCCAATGGTAGTTCAATTCTGTTCTTTCTAACTTGGGTAAGGGATTTTTGAACATGCCATTGGCAGACCGCACCCCTGTGGCTTTTGCGGAAGGTTCTTTGGGAACTTAAGTACTTCGCCTCGAGGCTAGCGCACGGCAGCATGTTATTTCGAATGGAAGTACGGCATTTAATTTCCGAGAATGCGCGCGCTCGCGTGATACGATTTCATTCTCATTTTTAGTTTTGCTCTGTTCGAGAGCAACTCGCCCTCGCAAGACGCCTCCTCGGTTCACCTAACATCCCATTCATCTGCTCGCTTGAGGGGAGTACTGGCTGTCCACATGGACTTTCAGAAGTGGCCTTCTGAACTCGCTGATCGCATGTATCTTATCAGTTGATCAACAAAGTTAATTCGGATTAGACACTCCACAATGAGGTTGCTTTTTTCACCTGCTCCCCTTGCAGTATGTGAGAGCGAGCTGGATTTGGAATCCTTACTAATGTTTATTCGGACACTAGAAGCCGTGTGTTCGATGAAGCATTATACTGCCTTGTCCCGCTGCGGTATAAAGCTCACAAGCTGAGTGTCTAAACCTTCACTGTGCCTGCATCATGTCCGTCACAATGGCAACCGCTCTCGTCAGCTTTATCCTCGCGCAAAGCATCCATGCCGCGCCTATCTCTCAACATTCCCCACCCAACAGTACAGCTTTCTCGATAAATTACTCGGATGCGTGTAACGATCTGCGCCACTGTCGGACTATGTGGAGCATGGTATACAGCTGCCTCCTTACGATATTCGCTTGTGTTTGGACAGCAATTCATCCAGATTTGTTTAAGGAACATCCATTTTGGGAGCCCCAACCGCAATCATCTCGTAAGATTCAAATGATGATGACGTTGGTTTTGCCGGAGGTGGTTGTCATGGTTGCATGGACTGAGTTCTCCAAGGCGTGGAGAATATCTCAAAAGTGTACTGGAATTCAAGGTTTGCGCTGAATTCAATTCAGTTGAAGCCCCTGACATCGATCTTTCACAAGGATGGACATTCACCCATTCATATTTTGTTACTATGGGTGGCTTCTTTAACTCTTTCACACAAGAGGTAGTGGAGCTGGATGAAAGTCAAGATCCTTCTACTGTCTTTGAGAAATACCCCGGCATAATCGACAAGTCAGGAAATGATAGAAAGGTCGCAGTAACAAGGGAGCAGATCCTCGACAGAAGTAAAGGCAACTTTTTTGCAAAATCCATTATCGTCCTCCAGTCACTGTGGTTCACCATTCAGTATGTTGGTCGGTGGGCAAGTCATCTACCCAGGTCGCAACTAGAAACGATGACTCTTGCCTATGCGGCACTTAGCATCCTTTGTGCTTTGTGGTGGCATAAACCACTGGATGTCCATTTCCCCATCCATGTAACGGAAGAGACTCAGCCCAATCCCTTAAATTCTGATACCATCACTGATCAAGTACTGCCCGCAAATCTGACTTCCTTTGCGGCGAAGATCATGGCATTAAATCCCGCATGGATACTTGGAATCACTGGTGTCGTTTTTGGTGGGGTTCATTGTCTTGCCTGGTCGTTTCCGTTTCCGACACGTGTGGAGAAACTTTTGTGGTGCATTTTTGCGATAATTATTACTGTGAGCCCTGGCCCTTTTGCATGGGCCATGGGAAAGGGTAGAGGGTTACATGTGTCCTCCGGAATTCTCTTCGCGTTTTTTTTTTGCTATTGTTCGGGTTATCCTGTTCACTCTCACATTTACGTCTTTGCGATCTCCACCCCCGGGTCTTTACCGAACTACATCCTGGACGTCTTTCATCCCCCACATAGGATAGTATAACATAATCGTAGAGACATAGTATTCTCGCTCTGCATAACAAGAAACAGTAAGGCTCAGTACCCGAATGCATTTCTATTTTCATGGCAGCTTCCTGAATGCATCTAGGGTACTTTTCTGATTTGATTTGGCTTGGATACCACCGGGAATGTCTGGGGAGTGGTGGCTAATTTCAGACGTCGTCCGTGTTGCAATGGTACATATGGGGCATCTAGTCTTTTGCCATACATGGGCAGTCCCTTTCCTTTCTATGACCTATTCCGTTTTGGAAATGTTTGGTCTTGTCTTCAAGTGATTACGTGGCAGACTCGTACCCGGTCGGAGGAGCTCCGTGGACGCGCGAAATAATAGCTTTTTTACGCAATGTAAATAAATGTTCTCACTAGACCTGCTTCCGATTGAAGTCACGTTCTGCACTCAATGTAAAAGATCACATGCCACAGAGTTAAACACATAGCTGATCACCTACTCCGGAAATTTGGATGCGACACTTTGCTGTGCTACAGCACTGTCCATCCTGTGTCTTCCCATGGCAAACAAGCTTGCTTCAAGGCTCTAATTATCACACCCCTCCCCAGCCCAACACAGAAAAAAATCCAAAACAAATGTAGTAGTTAACCCCACCCAAAATTAACCCAGCCCAACCCAACCTGATTCCTTCATACCCTTATGTGCTAAAATTATGTTGGAGTCTTGTATCTGGTTTTCATGAGGTTCATTTCAAAAGATATAGAAGATAATGATAATCAATGTGGTCATCTGTTGATCACTACAGTATACCCACCCTATGTCAGGGGACGGACTCCGGGTCCCCATGACCCCTCTCTACAGTCCATGGTCTGGCCTGTAAACACAGCCCATCTCAGGGCATAGCTACTGTGGGTAAGAAAGTGAGAAGAAGGTTAACTTCTCACTTTCCCACAGTGGCCCCAATATGGTGAAAACTTCCGGGGATACCCGGAAGTCACATGAAGGGTAGGAACCGGGCCCGGAGCATGCAGCGTGTGGAGCGTGCAGGGCGGAGGCGCACATGCGGGTCCAGGTGTGGGTCCAGATGCGGGTCCGGGTCCGGGCTAGTCAGGGTGTGTGCCCTGACACCCTGAGAAATTGGCCGGTGGGGTGAAAAAGACTATTTTGAGTGCACGATACAAGACTCCAACATAATTTTAGCACATAAGGGTATGAAGGAATCAGGTTGGGTTGGGCTGGGTTAATTTTGGGTTGGGTTAACTACTACATGTCAGGGCACACCCACCTGACCCGGCTCCACCCGGCCCAACCTGACCCGGTACCCTGCTGTCCACCCTTCCTTACCTCCTCCCCCTTTCCCTTCCTCTCTCCTCATTCTTCCTTCCTCACTTTCTTCCTATCTTACTTCTTCTTTATTCTCTCTTTATTCTACATGGATGACCTTCTTTGTATTAATGTACCATTGACCCATCTGCAGCGTGCCCACCATGTACCCAGCCCAGGCACCTTGGGCGACTTCCCACTATGCCCAGCATGCGCGCCTGCACCAGATGCCCTTGGGATCTCCCATGGAGACACCCAGGTGGTTACGGTTGTGTGCAAGGGTGACATGGCACCTGTCATGTGATCTAAGCCGCATGTATATAAACGAACCTGGAGTGGGAACCGAAGAAGTAGCCTTCTTCTTGTCAGGGACACGTCCGGGGTAGAGGGGGTCCGGATGTATCGCCCAGCAGAAGGGCCCTCACGGGGTGCGAACCAGGCGTGCGTACTGGCAGGTCCGGGAAGGGACAGCAGTCCCTGGCCACTTAGACTGAAGTGGAGAATGTGTTATTGTTATTAAAAGGGAAAAGGGAAAACTATACTACTTACCTGAAGTAGAGAATGTGAGAAGAAGGCAGACTCCTTCCCAGTCGCTCACATGATTTCTCCGAGGTTTAGCCGCAACTTACGTTGCCCTCCGAAATCTGTCGAGCGACTGGTACAACTTGCAACACGTGATGTTCCCACGCTAAGTTGTAATGAGTTGTACATAGGTTACGGAATATAATTTTTAGTATTTATGCATGCGGTCATTGCACCCAACCCAACCCGTGGAGACTAAGGGAGCACATCCAAGGTTGTGAAGTCAATATCCAGGGGTGCGCGAAGTTTAACAGTTTATATATTACTTAGTTACCAGTCACTTGTTTGTGCCTGGTGGCATAAGTGGCATGGCGCTAGCTGAGGCTGTGTAGTCTTTTTAAGTGGCACATGTTCAATTCTCACGTAGGAAACTTTTTTTTTTCATACCCTCCATTCCTTAGTGTACAGAAAACAACCATTTCAAACAATTATTCCATGGGAGGGCCCAAAAAAAGTTTGCCTAAGTGAGAATTGAACATGTGCCACTTAAAAAGACTGCATAGCCTCAGCTAATGCCATACCACTTATGCCACCGGGCACAAACAAGCGACTGGTAACTAAGTAATATATAAACCGTTAAACTTCGCGCACCCCTGGATATTGACTTCACAACCTTGGATGTGCTCCCTTAGTCTCCACGGGTTGGGTTGGGTGCAATGACCGCATGCATAAATACTAAAAATTATATTCCGTAACCTATGTACAACTCATTACAACTTAGCGTGGGAACATCACGTGTTGCAAGTTGTACCAGTCGCTCGACAGATTTCGGAGGGCAACGTAAGTTGCGGCTAAACCTCGGAGAAATCATGTGAGCGACTGGGAAGGAGTCTGAGAAGAAGGTTACTTCTTCGGTTCCCACTTCAGGTACATTTATGTACATGCGGCTTGAGTCACATGACGAGTGCCACATCACCCTCGGAGACAGCTGCGGGCATCCGGGTGTCCCTGTGGGGGATCCCAAGAGTGTCCGCTGCATGCGCGCATGCTGGGCACAGCAGGAAGCCATCCGGGGTGTGTGGGCTGGATGGGTCAATAGTACATTGATACAAAGGAAGGTGGTCCATGTAGATAGAAGGAAATAAACAAGAAAAGGAAGATGAGAGGAATGAGATAAAGAAAGGAGAAGAAAGATAGAAAGGAGAGGGGAGGAGAGGGAGGAAGGAGGAGGGAGAGGGTTGGACAGTGGGGAGTGGGTGTGGTGTGGCCAGGTGGGTCTGGGTGGACCCGGGTCAGGCGGGTGTGCCCTGACACTTCTCAACTTTCCACTTCAGGTAAGTAGTACAGTATTTCTCCTTTAATGATAATAACAACTTTCCACTTCAGTCTAAGTGGCCAGGGACCACTGTCCCGCATCAGGCCTGTCAGTATGCACACCCGATCCACCCCCTGCCAGGCTCTCAGCCCCAGACGCTACACCTGGGCCCCCTCGACCCCAGATGAGTGTTATGGAAATGGAGAATCTTATGGTCCGTGACAGGCAACCAGACCTTGAGGCCCTTTGCTATGGAAATGGGCCTAGACTCCTATAGACCAGGCACACAGGTAAGATATTTCTTACTTCTTCTCACTTCATTCTCTGCCAAACCCCATGCCAAGCTTTCCCACTGGGTTTTGGTGCTGGCTGGGGGATTTGTTGATTTCCAAAGGACTTCCTTTGGCCATTATAACATTTGTATTAGATAGATACAAGTCATATGACATGTATGGTAATTGCCGAGATGTTTTCTCATTATCAAACACATAACCCAAAAACCTTGTACCGCGATTGTAACATCCTCACCATTGTGCCACCACTGTAAACTCAACCTGTAACCCTGGAACCATGTCCACCTCCCTATTCCTCCTCTCCATGACAAAACCGCAATGAGGAGGGCATTCCCATGCCCAACCTCCTGCTGTCCACTCCCACCAGTCCACCGGGTGGTCGAGTGGTTACTCCCATCCAACCAGAAGTTCCCTATCAGGAACTGTAGCCTATCCCACCTCCTCAGGAGAAGGATACGGTCCAGGCAGCTCCAGGATGCCTGGCCATGCACCCACGGGTCCCACTTCCCACGGTCACCCACTACCGTGCACTGGTCCACCAGCCCGCTTTCCCCAACAACTCCTGCTACTGGTACGCTCCCATGAGCGCCAAGTCACCAATAGCCACCAACTGGGTGACTCCCTTTGGGAGTCCCATTATCCCTCACTACCGGTACGCTCCATTGAGCGCCAAGTCACCGCTAGCCAGACACTCCCAGCACACCTGCTACCGGCACGCTCCCAGGAGCGCCAAGTCCCCGTTAGCAGACAGCCAGGTGGCTCCCTCAAGGAGCCCACATCATACTCACTACCGGTATGCTCCCAGGAGCGCCAAGTTACCGTTGGCCGACACACAGGTTGTACTCCCATACCCTCATCCTATTCTGCTCTCCCTCCGATGGCTACGCAGCCACCTCCATTAGTGAGCCGAACGGCTCAGGTTGGGTTCCCCGGAACCCATTCCTGTAACAATGAGTCCCTGACACTACATTCATTTTGGATTTTTTTCTGTGTTGGGCTGGGGAGGGGTGTGATAATTAGAGCCTTGAAGCAAGCTTGTTTGCTGTGGGAAGACACAGGACGGACAGTGCTGTAGCACAGCAAAGTGTCATGTCCAAATTTCCGGAGTAGGTGGTCAGCTATGTGTTTAACTCCATGGCATGTGATCTTTTACATTGAGTGCAGAACGTGACTTCAATTGGAAGCAGGTCTAGTGTGAGAACATTTATTTACATTGCGTAAAAAAGCTATTATTTCGCGTGTCCATGGAGCTCCTCCAACTGGGTACAAGTCTGATTCCGTGGTCTTTGCTAGAATATTTCGCTGCAGCAGTCCTGGTGCTCTCACAATCATGCTTTGCTGTTTCACATCTGCACATCTGCAGAGGCTTATCACTGGCTGGGACACCTCAGTCGATGTCATGTAGTGTTCAGCTGATGCAACATTGTGAACTAATTTCGCTGGGTGGTCATATATGTCAGCATGAGGAGGTATGTTGCTCCGATGGTGAATGTTACAAAAATGGGGCCGGAGGCACCCATTTTCGTCCATTTGAGGCGCAGGGAAAAGGAAAGGGGAAGGGAGGTGGTTCATTAGGGTTTACAGATGGTTTCACAGATGATTTAACATGTAGTTTAACAGGTAGTGTGGCAGTGGGTTTTTCGTTGATTATTGATTTGTTAAACTCTATTACTATACAAATCATGTGATACAGAACCCATAAGAGTCTAAAATGGGAA